AAAACTACATGTACTATGTTTACAATTTTGCCAATTCCCATCATCTATGTTAGACTGTGAATCTCTACCTTAAACCAATAGAAAAGTGTCACCATCACACCAAGACATGGAGGACAAGAAGAAGGAGAAGGCAGCCAGGACACGCCCAAATTCCTCCATCTTGACCCCCTGAATTATATTCTAAAAACCACCAAATTTCTACTTTTCCACCCTGTGTTAATTAAAATATCACACTACTCAAACCCTTGTGGCTTGTAATTCTTCACACAAAGCTGGCAATTTTTTCCATGGGCTAAAATTGAAGCCACAGGTGTTTTTGACTTCTTGCCAAGGTCTATGAGACCCCTGCCAGGGTCTCAAGACAGCCAGGGCAGCCAGAGGGATGTGCTGGACTCTGAGAGTTCAGCTCAGTGCCAGGAGCTCTGCTCCCCTTTTTCCTGAGCCCACCCTGCTCAGGCTCACGATGCTCCCAATTGATTCCTGTTTACACAGAATTTCCACGCTAATGCTTTGTGTGGTGCCTCTCACAGTGAGATGCAGCAAGGTTTGTACAAACTCCTCCAGGGAAAAGAGAGGGACCTGCTGCTTTGCCCTGCAGCCCCTGACAGCCTGGGACCACCTCACAGAGGGGATGGTCCCTCCTGGGCTCCCCAGCACCTCCTCTGGGAGCCCCCAGACCCAAGAGATGACATTTTTAAATCTGTCAGGTTATTTGAAAGAGGGCCATGTCTTTTTTTAAAAATGCTTCAGGGAAACAGATGCTCGAGTTGTTCTTTAATCTAGAAGGTAACTGCTAATTAGTTTAGTATACAGCATAAGCCTTCTCTCCACATGGCATATTTTGTGTCAGCAAAAGATCTCTGTCAGGGACTTTATCTGTTTGCTGTCCTCCCCTGGTACTCAAGAAAGAAATGGAGATTCCATCATCAACTCTGCCTCTCCACTTTCATTACTGCTCTCTTAAAAATCAAATCATGCATCCTCTGTGGAAATGGGGTGTTTGGAGGAGGGGACCAGCCCCTTCGCCCTGGCCCTGCTCACCCTCTCTCCATGCAGCCTGCACAGCTTCCACCTGTGTGCCACCACGGCAGGTTTTTTCTCTTTCAGCAGGGCCCCTCTGCCACATGGGGATTGCACATATGTGGGAGGAATACAGTGCATGGCCCATTTGAAGTCGTCTTTATAAATATTCAATTCCCCTTGACGCAACGGGCAACACAGCAAAGCAGCCCCTCATGGTCTTGCATGCCAATAATTTGCAGATTAAAACTCCTCCAATGTGCATTTCCACAATGGGGCCTGCCTTATGTGGAATGGGCCTGTGAAACTATTGTGGTGATAATCTGGGGATTAAGAGACTTTAATAAAAAGCTTTGACATGACAGGTCATCGACGCTCTAGAGAAAAAAAAAAAAAAAATCAAATCTGTTACTCCCGAATGGTTTAATCCTGTGTGAGCCAAGATCCTCACTCTCCAAGGGTGCCAGGGGGATTCAGAGGCACTCAGCACCTTGCTCCAGGAGCTCGTGGTCCCCTAGGACAAGGTTAATTTTCTCCCGAGGCTGCTGTCCTCTACAGCCACCCTGGGGGGACTCTGGTGCCTTTCCAGAGCTTTTCTTAAAATCCACCACTCCAGGGCTCTCCTGCCCTTAGCCCTTGGCTGCAGATCCACTTTGCCTCCATCCTCCTGGCCACGGCCCAGCCCAGCTCCTTGTGCTGCTCCCGGGGTGTTTTGGGGAGGACTCCCAGTTTGGGACCCCACACGGAGCCTGTGCCCACCCACATTAATTACGTTTGAGTTTCTCACTGAAATACCAGGCTGCAGCAGCCCTCATCCAGCACTTGTCTCTAAACAAACTGTTAATATTGTAAGTGTCTTTCATGAGCCTGAGTCTAATTAATTAAAGGTTTATGAAAAACAATTAGGTTTTGATAGGGATCACCTTCTCTGGAGTCCCATGTCTGCGCTGAAAAAAGAGAGGGGTTAGAAAGGCTCAGGTTGAAATTTAGAACTGCAGTGAGTAAGAGAATACACAAATCCCACATGGATTGGGGAAATTAGGACATTTGGTGCCAGATTGCCTGACTAATTAGATTTCTATCAAGTCCTCAGGGACTGGCTGATGCAGCATTTTAATTTAAAGCTGCAGCAGTAGCAGCAGCAGCATCTCATCTTCTTTCCTTCTTCTCACGCTCTTCATATCAAATAGTCTGTGTTTTCCACCAGCAATCATTTCCCTTTCTAATGCTGGACCTCTGCAAGGCCCAACCCTGTTCTGTGCTTTGCAGGAAGGGTGTGCTTTTCTGGAATCCAACACACTGCTGGGTTTTGTTTGAATGAGAAAACCCTCAGTGCCTGCAAAGGGATTTTCCCATGATATGGAGCATGGCATTCCTTGACAGACACGTGGGATAAACTCACACAGGAAAAAAGCTGAGGTGCCTTGGAGTTACCCAGTCCATCAGCCAGTTTTTATAACTGAGAGCTCCATCAAAAATTGTTGTATTCCACAGAAACGGGAAAAGCAGGCCACAGGAAATGTTCCAGCATGCTGCTCTCTGGATTTGTTCTCTGAACACTCTACCAGGCACCAGGAGCTTTGCATTTCAGATGAAATAGTGGCAGTTTCTTGGAGTCACTTCATTTCCACCCTGAACCACCTGGAATGAAGATCAATGCTCAACAGATGCTCCCTGCAGGGAGAACAGGGTGGCACCTCTTTCAATCATATTCATTTAAAATGTGGTGATGCAGTTGTTCTGCAGCCCAACGGGGGCTGGAAAACAGCAGGTTGGTGGCAAAGCCCAAGTCCAAGGTGGCTGCCCCTGAACTTTTTTGCTGGTCCAAATGCCTAATTTAGAGCAGGTGCTTAACTTTTAAACCTGTGAAGTTAAAGGGACTGATTTTGGGCTTAATGTGTATAGAGCAAAGCACTAATCATCAAATTGTCAAATTCTTACTTAGTAGGCACCTAAATTTAGTGTTAATTGCTCTGAAATTAGTCAGCATTATTGAAATAGAATAAGTGGAGGTTTTTTAAAGCCACTTCTTACTTGACAGTATGAGATTGCAAATATTCCTGTGCTCTATTTAATGAAAAATCATTATGCTATTATTGCTATTTTATATGATGGATACATAATTAACAGTGT